GTTTACTTCAGTTTTAGCTTTAGACCCGAATTTTTGCAGCATTGGTGCCTGCGCCTTTGCTGTCCTCCATCCTCCACCCCCCTCTCCCTCCTGGATCCGCCTATGTGGATATTAACTAGAGATATACAATCTAGGATCGACGTGACCGACATAGCTGCATCCGGCGTGCGAAAGAATCCCTGTAAAATCCTTGATACAGGATATATCCATAAGGCCAGTCCGAGCAGTCCTGGTATTCTCGATGTTTCCGTACATGGTATTCTCGGTATTTTGGTATTTTTTTCGAGATTTTTATTTATTTTTTTATTTTTTATTGACTTATTTACTTTTTTGATTTTTTATTCATTTCTTTGTTGCTGAATATTTGAATTTTTGAACTTACTGAAATCTCCGACAAGCGAAAGTGCATCGGCACCAGGCGCCCACTCCAAACAGCGCACCGAGTTATCCTTCATCACCACGATCCCGTACTCACGATATGCTGTTGTAAATGTTTCCCAACCGCCACACTGCAAACAAATAGACGTGAAATGTCGAGTACAGTTTGAGATCAACGAAAATAACCGATACTAGGTTCTGCCACGGCAAAAAACGTCTGTAAAAGCTTAAGATGAAGGCGCTTATAGCAAAGAAACGAAGATGGTGGCTAAACTCCCTCTGCCTTGCTCAGTTGACCTTCGGTTTCCCGTGATATGCAAATGTCCCGTCTCTTGACTCCAGTTCCTCCTCCGTGATATTTAATGTGGTGATTAGAAATAAACTTGAAACTGTTTTGTACCAAAAAGTTGTGCGGCAGCAGCTTGGCGCTGTTGCCGCTTCCACTGTTGCTATATTCCAATAGCGGCTTGGAGCTACTGCTGGGTTAGCTCGTAGTTTGTTTCTTTTCTAGGTTTTTTTTTGGTTCTAGGCTGCTTGTACTAATAAAGAATTGTTTGTGCGCTTCCCCATAGCAGCCCAGGCCCTCCTCGTTACAAAGAAGCTGCTCAAAAATATCAAAAAATTACGTAGATTTTTTGATGTGAGAGGATCAAAACAGAGAAGAATGGAGAAGTTGCCAGCTACTGCATCAACGATGAGAAGAAATGCAACGATGAAACAAAAACTGATCAACGATAACACTGTTTTATCAGAACCCAGTGACCATGGTGACCCCGTTCAACTACTAATCACAATGCAAAATCTACTGAGAAAAAAAAAACCTCTTCAATTTTTGCCGAATAATCGAGGAAAACACCATATCGGCGGCAAATTTCATTCTGATAATTCCACAGATATCCATCCAACCTCAGCAAATTGTCCAGCTGCGGAGGTCTGCTCGAGCCGCCTCCCATCGACAAGTCGGAAAAGCTGAAAGTAGCCGGTTAACTGTTTTTAAATTAATCACAAATTTGAAATTAGCACTTATAACTGCGCTCGAATTTTTTTTAAAAAACCGATAAAAAAATTTTAAAAAAAAACCAATAAAAACCAATAGACTGTTACAGAGAGTTTTTAGCATTTACGTATCTTCCCTTCTCTCCACTTCTTTCTGTCTTTTTACGTGAGCACATTTACTATTTCAATGGTGATTAGGGGGCTGTACTGATGATTTCCACCTCTAACCGCTCATTCAGCTGTCTGTGTTTACAGCTAAGGGATGAAACACAGATAAATATTCCTGCATATTCTCAGCACATGAGAGATAAATATGCCATATTCTTTATAATACATATTCTAAAACACTATTTCCTAATCCCTACCATATGAATTAGCAGATTCCACATGGAATATATAAGTAATGGAAAATTTAGAATGGTACTAAGTTGCTGATGAAAATAATGAAGTTAAGCAGTTTTTAAAGGTTA